AAAGCCCAATACACAGGAGTTAGTTCCGAGTTAGCACAATATAAATCTGGATCGGAGAACATACATAATGAGTTGACATATTATAAACAATTAATGGAACAACAAAAACGTGCTTTTGAGTCTGTCAATCACGCGCTTATCTCAGCAAAGGAAAAAGCAAATGAATCAGAAAATTTATGGAGACAAGCGCGTCAAGATAACCTATCGCTTGAAAAGGAAACATCAAAATTACGTAATAAGCTTGAAGCCAAAAACCGTGAATTAAACAGAGCAAATTCCAAAATCGATGAGACTGAACGATTATTGAGTAGAGCACAAAATGAAGCAGAGGCTTTCCGTGCAACAGTACAAGAAGGAATGAAAGGGTTGTTTGAGAAATCAAAAACAAATGAAAATAATCTCAACAATTTAACTGAAGCAGACAAAACTAATCTTGAAAAAGAATTAATAGAATGGAAAACCATGCATGCCGAATCTCATAATTCTGCAACTGAAGCATCTAAATCATTATCAGAGGCCAAATTAAAAATTATACAATTGGAATCGTCTGCGATGAAAGCTAGACAGGAGGCAGTTATATTACAAGGGCAATTAACTGATTCTTTGGATGAAGCTAAAAAAATCAAAGAAAAATTACGCGAAAAAGAAAACCTTCTAGAAGAAAAAGTAAGAGCACTAGAAGATGCAGAAATTAAAATTGGAATGATGAGAGAAGATCCCAAGACTCAAGAATTTACAAATAATCAAATTATCGAATTAAGAGAACAAAATCAAAAAGAGAAGGAAGAATTTAATAGGAAATTTGAGGATATTGAGAAACAATTGAATTCTTCACGCGAAGAAAAGATTATGGTAGATCAATCGTATGAAGCATTGAGGAAGGAATATGAATCAATAAGGCAAGATCATAAATTATTGAAATTAAACAATGAGAAACTTCAAGAACAATTGAAAAAAGAAGGAGAAAAGGTTAAAGAGGTACAAACCGAACTGGAAGAAACACTTTCATTATATGTATTAGTTAACAAAGATCTTGATGATGCATTAAAATTAGCAGGAAAGGCTTCAACAGCAGGTGCCAATGACGATGTAAGTGGCAAACAATTAGAGGATCTCAAAGCGGAAAGGGATAGATTAGAAAAGGAGGTTATAAAATATCGAGAAAATAATATGAAATTGGAAGTTTTGAACGTGGATCTGGTACAAAAGTTGCAAGATTCCGAGAATAAAGTATCACTTCTACTAGATCAAATGGAAAATGCAGTAGATACGTATCGCGGAATGGAAGATGATGAAATGAAAGATTCTAGCCAGAGAAATTCACAAAAATTAACAAGTGAACTCGATATGTTAACGTCACAATTTAATAGCAACATTCCCGATGATGACAGTGTTAGTGATTATACTAATTCAAGATGGAGTACACATTCAGGCACGAGCATAAACGATAGAGCATCGTCAAGACTAGAAGATTACGATGAAATTATGGCAAGGCTTGATGAAGTGAAAAAAGCAGCAGCTTTAAGAAATTTGAATCAGATGAAACAAATGAATCAAACATAAGGTGTCATTTTTTATTATTTAAATAAACAACCAAAAATAATTTTTTTATAATTTTTTTAATAATATTTTTTAATACTTTCATTTATTTTATTATTGTATTTTTAATTAATTGATTATCATAAAACTCAAATTTATATTTAAATTTATTCGATTAGAAAAAATTAATAATCTTTTTAAGAAACTTTATTATTATTATCATTATAACATTATATATCCATTCATCCATTCATTCATTCATTCATTCATTCATTCATTCATTAATTAAATTAATTAATTAATTCATTTATTCAATTTTTTTTTAAACAAAATTTTTAATAATAAATTATAATAATACCTGTAAATATTATTTATATAGGTAAAAAATTAGTAGTGGTTTCATAATAAACTAGAATATCATTTAAGACCTGGATTCTCAGAGGTGGATTATATTTTAAATGTGCAAAAGTATAATAGTAATATATATGTGTTTCTTCCATATTAAAAATCTATAGATTTCATCCATCCATTCTTTATTAATAAACAATTTATATGAGAATTCAATAGACTATTTACAACATGAACTAATAAATTTAACATTAAAACTTAAATTATAAATAAAATTCGCCATTTTGAATCTTAAAATCAAAAAATGATGCAAATACAAAGTATCTATGATGACTGCTCCAATTCCCTTTGCTTGGATATATTAAAGATTTTTTATTAATTAATTCATGTATTGTAGGATATACCAAAACCGCAGTACAATGAATTAGACTTAAGAGATAGCAATCTGTTGAAGAATGAAAATTTTTCTATGTACTTTCTTTCAAAATAAAATGCACATTCTTTTTTTTACAAATTAAAACTATTACTAATATTTCTTCTTTTATTGTTACATTTCATAAAATCAAAATGCATTCGATTTGTCTTTGGTGCTTGAATTTGAAACACACATAGGCAGGTCAGTATTGGTATGTAGAGGAACTTTTACATACATATGAGTTGTGTTAACTCTATGTTTTTTGAATTTTGGCTTTGAATTTAGTTAACTACATGTAATAGTAAATTAATAATAAAATAAGAACATGCTTGAGCTGTCTTTAGTGCCTGTGTTGAAGCAACATAAGTTGATCAATATTGGTACGTAGAACAACCTTTATGTAAGACAAGATTTGGCACAGTTTTAACTTTGAAGATTAAAAGTGATAAAAGGAGAAAACAAAGAATGCAGAAATTTCTTTTATTGCTGAATCACAATGAATCAATCACCAGAGATAAAATTGCTCTTTAAACTATGCAATTTTAATCTTGTTAGAGAAAATTTTAAATAAACTATTTTATCACCAGGAAGTGTATTATTATAATAAGAAAATTGTTTATTACAAATAATGTAACTGTTATTTGTGGGATTTAATCAAGGTTAGGATATAAATAAGGGGGATATAAAAGAGGTATGACTGTAGTGAAGAGTTTATGATTTTGCTGAAAAAATAATAAAAAGATTATTAGAAATTTTCTAACATCAAACAACATGGAAGCTGATTTTAATAATGATGGCAGTGGTGGTAGTGATTCGTAACAAGTACATAAATCACATCCAGATGCATATCATATAATAAATAGAATATTAGAAATATTAGATGAAAAGATTGCCAAATATAAAAGCTCTCAAAAAGTTATACAAGTAATGATAATTTGTTAAACAATCTTGATTTAATTCTTTTCTCTAAAATGTTAACAAAGATGAATAAAAATTTCATTATTAATTAATTGGAATTACTGTCCATTAATTACTACTAACAATATTGATTAAAGAATCGACTATATAAAAATTTATTCATTATAATTATTTATCTTTTTTATTTTATTCTTAAAGCTGAATTATAATGTTTTGAAGTAAACTTTTTGATTCTTGATATTGCAAGGCATCATTTTGGTTGATTAACAATTATGGCTTAAAAGGCTACTTTTGTTGGTTAATTATAAGAAACTCACAATAATTTGGTGCTTGTCAATTAATTAGTTGAAGAATTTACTTTAGCTCTTGATTACTGCCTCTTTCTTGCACTTAAATGAGTCTGTAAGCACATTTAATGGTACTATGCCTACAGAAAATAAGTTAGGATCAGGAAGTAAATGAACAAGAACTAGAAATAAAAAATGCGTATTTTTAAAAAATATGAAATGGTGAAAAAAAGCTATTTTGGTTAGTATTAAGCTCAGTTTTGGAAATCAATAAACCATTTGATAATTTTCAAGACTTGCAAAAAGATAATTATTACATTCTTTTCATTAACATTATTTCTTGGTGATAAAATTGACAAGATGGCCAAATATTAATTCTTATTTATAGTAATGATTACTTTTGTAGATTATCATTACTATCATTTGATCTATTTTTTTTTGACATGAACCAGTTTTAAAATCATCATCTACATGATATTTCTCTAATAATTGCGCAGGCAATTTATATTTGCCTGCACTTAAAACATCCTTAATATTTGTCACAGCATCAAGATTATATTATTAACATTATTTATTAATATTGTCTCCAGTAGCTGTTTCTGAATTAATGTTTTTTCTAGCTTTGGTTTAGTTCTTGTGTTAACAGTAGAGTTTGACGATGATGATTGAATTCAAAATATATAAATAATATTTTTTTATCACGGGTAATAATTTTCTATTGTACAATGAGGTGGTGATGGAGTTGTTCCTAGATGATTGAATATCTTAATCTATGGCCTTCAACATTGGCACCATGATATTCATTATAAACACCTCTGCATATTTGTTCTATCTTCAAATTCTACAAAAGACCAATCAAATATTTGTGAATAATATAAATAAATGTTTTTGTTTTTGTTTTTCGACTTAACAAAACAATCAGCAGGAAACCAAACCTTGTAAGTACTACTATAACGGAATAAGATCCTCAAAGAGATATACGTGAAGACTATATCATTCAACGTTATGGAATTCCCCAGGATCCTACCACCATCATGTCCATATCTTTCAACGTACCCAGCCACATCGTGTTCATGAAAGTGTAAGACATATTTACTAACGTAAAGAGTTGTTGTTGTTCTTTTCAAACCATTAATTATTTATTATTTGTAATTAATAATGAATCCCATTCATTAGTTCATAATTTAGATGAATTTATTATCTGCCAATCAATTGATTGGTTCAATTTAGAGAAAATGATGACCAACGCTACTAAAAAGGCAAAAACTCTTTGCACGGGTTTTTTGAAGTTGATGCAACTGCGCGTTTTTCTCGAGTCATTGAACCAATAATACTAACCAATTAATCAATACTAACTAATAATCAAACTAACTGATGATTAATAATAATGCATTCCATTTCATATATATTTTCCTCATTACCTCCATCACAAAAAACATTATTCACATGGGGGGTAATACATTTGCTGTTGGGAATATTTTTATGGTTAAAAGGTCAATGGGGGAATGGATTAGGTAAAATTTTATCATTATTACTATTATATCACTATTTAAAAGAAAGGTTATTTGATTCTTTATTTTATAAAATTAAAACTTTTTTTTATTAGCTTTAACAGGCTTTGCTTATTTAGTAATATTTGATGCCATGGGAATATTCACAATTTTTATTTCAACAGTTTTAATTACTTATAGATCGTTAAGAGAACCAACAATTAAAAATCCTTTTGGGTAAATAAATTTATTTTTAAGAAATTTGACTTATTATTATTATTTATAGCTAATAATCATTTTTATTGTTTTACTATTATTAGAGTTCAAAGATATGAAATATTATTTGGATTTATAAATATTTTATATTTATTATTTGTTGCCTTATATATATTAAAAGAAGGCTTAGAACATCTATTACTGGAGACAAGTGAGGAACATTATGATCATAAGTACATTAATAAATATTTTTACATGATATATATTTATTTGGCTATACATTTTTAATTGATTATGAACTAACTATATAATTCCTACATAGTTTTGTATTTCCATTATATTGGGTTATATTAGCACTTGGAGTAACTTTAATATCAGCAATTAATTATCGAAATCACAAAGGATTTTGTATATGTTAGTTTAAGTAATTATGTATATAAATTGTTTTTATTATCTTTTATATTAATTAAATCATTCTAATTAACAAAAAGAAAAAAAAATTTTTTATTGAATAACAAATAGTATGGAAATCATCATTCATAAAGGGAAGAATAAGTTCAACATCATATTTTAATAATAATAATGATAAGGAAGATGATGGTATATCATTAATAATATTCAATAATTTATTCACTTTAACAGTGTTGATATGTGGAATAAGTGTAATTATAGTTGGAAAACTTATGGAAAAAAAGTACTATAAACGTTTATACATATTTGTACATTAATATATATATATTTATTTATTTATTTTAATTTTTTTTTAAGTCAACACTTAGGATGGTTGGATAAAGTTGTATCAATAATAGAATCAATGCTTATGTTTTATTTAGCTTGTCCTATTGCAACATCATTAGGAAAAATACTATTACAAACAACTCCTGATTCAATATCAATGTATTTAGAAGATTATTTGAGAGAGGTAATTTCAAATCAATTGATTGATTGATTGATAAGTATAATCTTTATATTTATATATATTAATTTGTTTATAGGTAAAACTTGATACAAATATATTATCACTTACTTCAGTTCATTTTTGGCAAAATTCATATGGACAATTGATTGGTACAATGTGTATACAAATTAAACCAGAGGCAAATGAACAAATTGTGTTAAAACATGTATATCAAAAATTAAGTCCTTTATTAGTTAATCATAATAATGGCGAAAAGGGTGAATTGACAATTCAAATTATCAAATAAATTCTTTAACATTTTGTTTTTAATTGGCTAAATTTTATTAAATAAAAAAAACATAAACTTGTTAGTTTGCGTGTTTAATTTATTTTTTAAAAAGTTTACTGACTCTCTCGTACTAATTTTTAGAGCAAGAAAATGAAAGATATAGTGATATTTATTGGTACATTTACTTCTTCAAATACCAATCAATACATATAAAGAGTTGAAAATATTGGATTTCAAGTTGAACCTTCTATTACAAGATATGTAAGACACGTTGTTTATGAGGACTTGAAACTATAGATGAGCGGAATTGGTAAATCCAAATAATAAAAAAGTACGTGATTCAAAAACAACTAAAAATGGTAACGCGATGATGATGTGGCGACGACAATGATAATAATGATCAACCGTAGTAATAGTTTCAAAATTAATAATAGCGTATTTAGTATTAATAATTCATAAAATTTAAGGAAATTCGAATAAAGTAAAATTAATAATTCGAATAAAATTAATAATAATAATAATAATAATAATAATAATAATAATAATAATAATATATAATAATAATAATAATAAAAAACAATTCGAATAAAACTAATATGCACATTGCCAATCCAATCCAATTAAAAATATTCCTTGTATATAGTGATAATGACATTTTTTTTAATAGTAGTAATATAGATTATGAATATAACTATAACTATTGTAATTTATATTATCTTATCTATAATTTTACAAATAGTTAAAATCCCTTAACAATAACAACAACAACAAATATAGAATCTGTTGCATCAAGCTGTGAATAATTCGAATTAAGATTGAATTGTATTACGAATAATTCGAAACCCCATCAACCCATCATCATCATCACCACCATCATCATCAACCATGATAATAGAATTTTAAAAAACAAATAATCTGATAGAATATATAAAAATTTACCACATTTTGCATTCCAGAAAACTTTTACACCGTCTAATTTTTCAGAATCAACCATCCGGTTGGATCAAAATTTTTAAGTTTCCAGGGTTGAGTAAGGAATAAACCAGGAGTGTTATATACCATCAGGAATTGACTCATATTGGGCATCTAAATTGATTTGGTAAGTTATCATCAGTGTTTTTAATATATTAATTATAGAAGGTCATATTCTTGATGATGAACTTTTTGGTGTTTGTGAAATGTTTCAATCAACAGTTAATATTGTTTGACAGATAGGAAAAAATTACGTTTCAGGTAAAATTTTTATTGCAAGTATATACCGTACCGTATAGTCTCGAAAGATAGCATCCTTCATTTATATCGTGTAACAAATAATTTTAAAATAGGAGTGCTATATTTCGGGACTATACGGTACATATATATATACAAAGAGGTAATTGGTGAAAGCTTTATTATTATTTACCAATTATTATCATTAACTAATATTTATTTATTTGTTAAAATATTAAATTATAACAAACGAGTAGTGTTGTTGTCTAATTCATGGCCAATTGACTAAATTATTATTATTTCTTTTTACAAATAAATGTTTACATATTTTGAAGGTAAAAAAAAACAAAGATGTAAAAGAACAAGGCTTACCTCAAATTCCTGAATATGCAGAAGATTCTAGCAATTCAATAGCTACTAGATATGAACGCGGAGAATTAGTTTATTAGTAGAAAAATATTTCCTTAAAAAGATTGTCTTCTACAAAAAAATCCTTGTGGTATAAGAAAACTTAACCGTCATATGTAATATTATGTGGGTGCCAAAATATCATCAAATAGTTATCAGAATTAGCAAATTTTTTTTTTAGTAAATATTGAAATATTTTATCATTCTAACATATTTATATGGTCATAAAAATGTTTTTTAATTAATATTCAAAGGTTGTTTGTTAACCACACCACTTTTAACTTTGTCTCGAAAAAATTGTAACGTATACTCTACCCTTAATATTAATATTAAAAAATATTAAGAATATAGAATAAGAATAATTAAAATTCCGAATGGCCCGGGAGCCCGAAAATTTTTGGTCCGGTTTCGAGTTTTATTGAGTTGTACCAATTATACTTGTGGTCAAAATTATTTATAACTTATAAAGATGTAAGACCCAATTCGTGGCGCAAGCATGTTTCATGACAATTAAGAATTTTCTGATTATGTTACATTCAAACCCCTCTAAAGTTTCCATGTAATAAATAAAAAGTTTACATGTGGCTAAAAGTTTGAATTAATTCATACACACATTACGAATTTGTTTTGTGTCTTGAATCACGTCTTGCGTCATAAATTACCTCCTGAGTCATGAATTACGCCTTGGATCACAAGATTGTGTCTTTACGTCACGCACAACATCACAAGCATTGCTTTCATTTTAACGACATGTATATTAACTAGTAGTATAACTGTTTTTTTATTTATATTTAATTAATAAAATTTGGGGAACAAATCTTATGTGATAAACACAAAAAATTCATTTAAACTTATCTAAATCTTATCATCTCAAAATAAAATCTTTAATTAGAATATAAATTTTCATATGCATATTGCTTACTTTCTTAGTATTAATTAATGCAAATGTAATATCAGATCAGAGACCGATCCAAATTTCAGGTTAACACTTAATCCGCCCGAAACTGGTCTGTTTTAAGAATTATTTTGATGCACTAAAAACATTAACATTAAATTTGAAAGTCGTTTATTATATAATCAACACATTCTATACACACAGAAATAAGGAAATATTCAATCATGAATAAACATTTACGAACATTGATATTTGTTTTAATAACAACGTTGTTGTTCTTCTTAATCGTGAACAAAAGTTGTGTGAATCAATTGATCATGTGTATTCAGAACTTAAAAAACTTAAATTGAATAATAGAGAAGATTTGATGATTCGTAAACCAAAAAGTTTATATGAATCAGGTAGATCAAAACACACTTCTTAAAGTAATGAAGTTTTTCGAAAATATTTTTTTATATAGGTAAAAACTTTTTATGATGGTGAAGCATATGGTCCAGGCGAAGGAAAATATAAAGGAACGAACGAAATAGAATCTACGGTTTAAATTACAAGCCCCGCAATAAAAAATTTTATTATTTGAAATATTACATAGTTATAAAAATTATTATACACATCAAAAGGTTGGTTAGGTTTAATAGGGGCCAAATCTATTAGTATTCAACGAACCAAAAATTTTGTGTAACAAGATTTTTTCTTACATGCTCATTCAACCAATACTTTATAGTAAATCTTTTATATTAAAAAAAAATAATAAATATTATAAATTATAAAAATCAGTGAATTATTATCAGTTAAGGGTAGGGGGAATCACGTGTTAATTTAATAGTAAATCCGGGGCTCAATTTTTTCAAAAATTCGAGTTTTCCCAAATTAGTAATTATCTTAAAAGTAAAACTACGGCAAGACACGTTGAAACAACTTCAAAATTATTTATATCTAATTTTGGTGTTTCTTAACTATTTGAAAGTACTTCAAGCAAAACTTCTTAATAAAAATTTGTAAATTTCTTCAAAAAACTTAACGCGTTTCAAAATAAACATAACTTCTTCCATAGTAAACACCTGCTCATTTCTTAGTAAGCACCTGCTCATTTCTTAGTAAGCACCTACTCATTTCCTAGTAAAAGTTACACATTCCATAATGTAAAATACTTATTTGGCAAAAAATTCTCATAAAAGAATAAAGTTCAATAAATATTTGATAAAGTGTTATCTACTAGTAATTATTTCTACACAAAGGCTTCTTATTTTATTTTATTTTTAGAATTCAAAAATGGTCAGTTGGTATAATTCATTAATTATGGATATTGCTGAGGGTGCTGAAGAAATGATATATTCTCATTCTTGGGATTATTATTTATAAATAAATAAATAAATATATATATATATATAATTTTTTTTTTTTAATTTTTATTATAGGAAATTTTAATGTATATTAATATTTCATAAAAATATTGATCAACATTGTACCCGGCAGGCAAAAAAAATTGAGCCATGATTTACTATTAAATTAACACGTGATTCCCCCTACCCTTAAATCAATTGATTGGTAAAATTGTTTTTGTTACAGTATACAGTTTCAAAATTTTTAATGGGTCAAATTATGTTCTTTTTTCCTAAGTAACTCCATTTTTTTATTTGAATGGACTCTTTTTCGACCCTGCCTTTCTTTTTTTTCCTACAAGAAAATATAAAATAAACTCCAATTCATATCACCTACCACCTTTTATTTCCTTTAATTTTCCATTCGTCTTCTTCTCTATCACCACTACTCTTACCACCATATCTCATATAAAATAATTGGTGTAAAATATTATTGTTATTATTATAAACAAATTATTAATATTATTATTAATATTATTGTTATTAATATTAATAATAATCACTCAAATCAATCATATATACAGAATTTAAACACTTGACAACAACAAAAAACAACAAAACACAAATATTACAATTACAAAAAAAAACAAATAGCTTCTCATCTTTAATTATGTTACAGGCATATACACATATATTAGTCATGTTTATATAGAATTTTCTTTTTTCTTGATCATCATCATCATTTACTTCATATGCATTTTTTTTTTCCACCCCCTCCGCAAAACAATAAAAGAAAAAAAACCAAAGCAAAATTACAAGAAAAATTTACTTTAAATACTTTATTATGCAATAATTTCCAAATAAAATTTATAGATTTTTTTTTTTAATAATAATAATAATAATAATTTTTACTAATTACTACTACTTACCTAATCACTAATTAATTAATTTCATCTTTATTTTAATATTTGGTTATTTTTTCTTTGATTTATGGTTATTTTTGGGACGTTTGACTTTTTTTAATTTTTTTATGAAAAAAATACTTAATTATATGATTTTTATTTATTATTGATCAATTAATTAATATATTTAGATTTATGCTTTTTTTAATTCTTTCTCTGGCAATATAAAATCTGAACTTTTCAATCCAATCAATCACATTCACATTATACATTCCTTTTTTTTTTTTTTTTGTATTTTTTTTAAATAATAAATTTTAAATAATAAAAAAAAAATAATAAAAATATAACAAAAATAAAATAAGTATTATCATCATTATCCCGTAGATCCAAATAAACAAAATTAAGTTAGGGGATTGACGTTGCCTTATTTGTATTTCATTCTATAAATAACAAAAAAGAGAGCTAATCATGGTGTGGAATGATGGCACATTTTATATGTGTATATTAATATATTCTTAGAATACCAATAGGAACTTTTTTTATTTGTTTGTAGGAAAATCCATGTAAAATTCCGACGTTCAACCCGATTCATGTGGCACAAACAAGATTTATAAAATACAAACAAAAAATTTAAATCATAATCAATAATAAATTAATAATAATTCTTATTTAAAATTTCCAATTTAAGAATGAATGTGTATCCCAAGATTTTTTCAATTCTACTCAATCCAACAGTGTAATATGTAAACTAGAACTAATTTTGGAAGAAAGATCCAGTAAATTCATCTTCTCGTTATTATTATTATCAATAAATGTTTGTTTGTCTGTTTGTTTTATTGCTTGTGATTGAGATAAAAACCATTCCTTGTAACATCCACATTAAATCCATAATAATATGACTGTTAAATAAAGACGCCTATTTGTAACTAAGCTTATTATTATTATCATTATTACAAGTTTTTTACTGGAAATAATCTTTAAAAAAAAAAAAAACAAAACAAACAACAAACAACAGCAGCCACAACAACAACGACGATGACGACGATGACACAGCAACAACAAGAACTAATAATTGTTGGAATCTTCTATCTTATCTATCAAAAAAAATAATAATAAATAATATTTTTTTTTCAATAAAATTTGATTATGCGTACCATCTCAATCACCAAAATTATAATATTTGCCACAAATTAAATTAATTTGCAACTAAACCTGTTATTAATCACGCATTGTTATTACATTATTATTATGAAGTTTACCTATGATATAAAAGAAGAAAGTCCTCCTGATTATACAGAGCATTGATGTCATAAAATTTATTGGTACTGAATTGCAAAGTTTACACCAAATTTAATAAATTAAGAATGTATACATAGATGCGTGTGGCCCGGTTTAAAGAAAACACAAATTTAAAGATAATCAAAAATTTTTACAAGAGTTTTGTGGTCGCGATTGTGTGATGCTAGGGGGCGCAATTTAGATTTAGTGCAAAGTTTTTCATATAAAAAAGGAGAAAAGGAAATTTTGGTATTACAGAATAATTATGTTGTGTATATAGAGAGACAATTGATTTGCAAATTTACACGCGCGAATTCAAATTAGCCAATCAAAATGTGTATTCAACATCCAAGTTCGAATTATGATTTTTTCATAATAAACAAAGCTTTATTATTAAATTATTAAAGCAAAGCAAAACTACACCATCAAAGCTTTCCAATCATCTTCTTTTATATCTAAAAAAAAAGTCTTAAAAATTGGCGAGAAGTTATGGTGCATGCAAGAGCCTTTTTGGTAATCTAGATAAAGACCCTTCCTTTCCAAACTCGATATTAAGAAAGAAATTGAGTGTGGGCGCTTGTGTTACATAAAAAATGCGCACATTTTGTTGATAAAATAATTTGGGCATGCTTGCAACAAAACCAGACAAAATGAACATTGGTATTACCAAGAATTTCAGGTTTGTTTAACATCACAATTGTATTACAATGTAATGTGATCATGATATTTGGATCATTAATTGCTTATAGTAACAATTGGTCAACTTCAAAATACTAAAACAAAAAAAAAATTATATCATTTTAAAAAATTTAACCGATAAGTTTTAT